AACGAGCACACCCCCATGGCAATAACCCAGGGAGGGAAACAAGCTGGCAGCCAGAGCTATTCCCTGGTAGGGGGAGGGGGGCTCAGAAAAAGATCCCCAGGAGTGGGCTGTGCAGTGACACCTGCAGAACTGTGTGGCAATTGCGTGAATGACTTTATGGGGCGGTGTAAGGAGCTGTTAAGTGTTTTATAGAATTACTTGCAGGGGGTAAAGGAAAACGCTTTTAGTGGCCTCCCAGTTTTTGCCGGATTTTCAACCCACCCATTGTGTGAGAGCGCTAAAACGAATGTGAGCACTGAGCCATTTTAGCAAACAGGATATTCAGGACTGTTGCGTTTTCCCCTTGACATCCTTTTGGGAAATTATTGCTCCCTTCCTGTACATATAGTATGAAATTAGCTGTCCCCCCCTGAAAAGCACGTTACTGCTCACTGCATAGCCTGCGCCAACAGCCTCTTTTTGGGAGCAAACTTTGTTCAGAAGTTGGCAGCTATCAGCAAGATAACTATTCAGCCACATAAAGGGGCAATTTATGAATTATATGTTTGGATCCAACTTAACTTGTCTGCTAAGTTTGTGAACCTCACTGGGTCTTTTTGTGTGTGCAGCAATATTCTCTGCTTTATTCAGAGAGCTTTGTCACTAGCTTCATGATGCTGAAAGCCTAGCAAGACAAAGAATGACATTTCTCTCATGTTCTTCCAAGCACTTAATGCTCCTTGAAACCCTGGTGGATTGTTGGTTCCATGACTGACTCGATCTGCTCTTGTGCCCTTCAGGGATTAAACAATTATTCTTATACTGCAGAATAACTGCTACTTTGGAACCCTTGTTTGGACTTGAGTTCAGTCTGTTTTTTATGGGCTCATCATTATCTGTGTGTTTTGCTTTCTACAAATTCTACTAAGTCAATTTCATCTTTAATAGTATTTCTCCCAATGATATGTTAATGTAAACTATGCTCAAGTGCCCGTTTTAACAATGTTATTATATTTCAACTCTTTTATTCCTTTGGAAGTTATTCAATACTTTTTTAAGGACCTAGAAAATGTACACATACAGGTATTTCTTCTCTATGTTTAACCTGATTGAATAAATCAGTCTATTTGTAAAAAGGCTGTTGACTCTTACTCTCTGGAGAACTGTGTAAACATACATTAATTACAAGTATCTATTGTTTTATTAAACATTTGTTTTAAACAGTTTTATGTATCATGTATTGAATGCCGTTTCATAAAGGAATACTTCACATGTGGACCCAGCAAACCGCAAGTGCTCCACTGTTACACATCATGTAACAGCATGTGGAACGTGTAGTTTGTTTGCGGGGGAAAGGGGCCAGAAAGGTTTCATTTCCTTAAAATGGGTTGGGGTCCAAAAAAAAATGTTCTGGTACCTTAAGTGCTGCCTCAGCAAGCGAGAGAAGCCATGGGGGATTCTGTTCCTCAAGTGTGTGCGTGACTGTTTCAGTTTGTGTTCTGCTACTCTCTGGCAAATACGATCACTGGCTTTAGGCATCACACGAATATACCCCCCCCTGCTTTTTGTTTCCAGGGCGCGAATTCTTGGTGATTCATCTGGTTATGGGGGCAGTGTGTGTGTGTGTGTGTGTGTGTGTTCCCCACAGTGTAATAAAAACCTGTTGTTTGATGTTGTGCATACCATTTTTCAGGTCCCCACAAAGATGTGTGAATGCAATCAAAAAACTAAAAATGCCGAAAGGCTTGTATTTTGTTTGGTTCCTTATGGTTAAAGTTAGGGCTGGGTTGGGGTAAAGGCCGTTATGTTGGGATTAGAGTTTTCCCCATAAAAAAATGAACAGAGAGTCCCTACAATGATATAAGTACAAAGGTGTGTGTGTGTATGTGTGTGAGTGTGGTGCGGTGGAGTAGATAGGGGTGGGGTGGGTTAGGTCACGGCTCATTAAGCAGAGGAAGAGGCTCTCTGTCTGCCCGGTGACTGCCAAATGTTGGATATCAAAATAAGACTTTGAGCTCCCATGACAAACCCAACCCCAGAGAGGATTTATTCCACCCGATGGAGTTTTTCCATTTTCATCATATATGTCTACATGCAGAGCATTGTTCTCTCATTCCTTTAATCCGTTTACACGTCATTTATAGTTCCATCTCGGAGCACTTCATGTTTCTTGCATCGGCTGTCCTCCAGTTCTGCTGATCCTGCACCAGGTTCCTGTATCAGTATGCTTACTGCATATTGTTCTTCCTGACTGCAAAGTGGGAAAATACAGTTGCCAGTGGCTGTCTCAGTCCTCCCTTCCCTCTTTTCACAAGCATCTGTGAGCACATTTCAACAAGGCTGCTGGAGATAAAGCTCCCAGCTGTCGTCACCCTCCTTTGAGTAAACCTCAGTAAAGCCTTAAGTTTAATAACCTTCTCTCTTCATTAGGACCATGTTTCCTTCAGACGTGCAAAATCTGCAGCCACTCTATAACCACACTTGCTATTCACATCCAGTTAGTATGACGACTAAAAAAAAGAATAGGTAATGGAAAAGCACCTCATGTTTTAATTTACTCACTCAGTCCTGGGAAAGGAGCTACTCTGGCTCCATCTGCAAGAGCAAGTCCCTGGAAGGCAGGGAAGGGTTTCTTTCTCCTGCAGGATGAGGGAGCTAACTGTGCTCCGTGTCCCGGCAGCAGAATGGACTCACAAGAGATTCTAAAAACAGCTCTGAGCACTGGGGGTAAGACACACCCCTTCACCCAAGCACCTCCTTCTTAGCCTTAGCCAAGCCAATCCCATGCCACTCTCTTAACCTATGCACAATGAGAGCTCTGGGTTACTGATCGGTGGTGTTAAAATCAAGTATGAGTTGGGGGGGGCAGGCTTCTTCCTTACTGCATGCAAGCACTCTTGGGATACTGTCACATCAGGTCCTCAGGGAAACTCAATGCTGATTACTGCGATTCTGGGAAACCAGAGACTCACTGAGCCGGACTCAAGAGATCAGAGGAAAGAGGGAATCCTTTCAGCAGGGAGATCTTCAGCCAGTCTGTGTAAAACCATTTCCTGGTATCTCATTTCCTGCAACATAGAACAGGGGCTCCTTTACTGATCAGACTCAATGGTCAGAATAGTGGATAAGAACAGAACTAACAATAATAATGACACTTTATTGATTGAATTTTTTTCCCATCTTGCTCTCATGACACACATACTGTACACTATATTGCAAAAAGTATTGGGACAAAATCATTGAATTCAGGTGTTCCAATCACCTCCATAGCCACACGTGTATAAAATCAAGCACCAAGGCATGCAGACTGCTTCTACAAACATTTGCGAAAGAATGGGTCACTCTCAGGAGTTCAGTGAATTCAAGCGTGGTACCATGATAGGATGCCACCTGTGCAGTAAGTCCATTTGTGAAATTTCCTCGCTACTAAATATTCCTTGGTCAACTGTTAGTGGTATTATAACAAAGTGGAAGCAATTTGGAACAACAGCAACTTAGCCACGAAGCGTTAGGCCACATAAAATGACAGAGCGGGGACAACACATGCTGAGGCGTACAGTGTGCAGAAGTCGCCAACTGTCTGCAGAGTCATTAGCTACAGACCTCCAAACTATGTGTTGCCTTCAGATTAGCTCAAGAACAATGAGTAGAGAACTTCTTGGAATGGGTCTCCATGGCTGAGCAGCTGCATCCAAACCTTACCTCACCAAGTGCAATGCAAAGCGTCAGATGCAGTGGTGTAAAGCATGCCGCCACTGGAATTTAGAGCAGTGGAGACGTGTCCTCTGGAGTGATGAATCACGCTTCTCTGTCTGGCAATCCGATGGACGAGTCTGGGTTTGGCAGTTGCCAGGAGAACAGTACTTGCCTGACTGCATTGTGCTAAGTGTAAAGTTTGGTGGAGGGGGGATTATGGTGTGGGGTTGTTTTTCAGGGGTTGGGCTTGGCCCCTTAGTTCCAGTGAAAGGAGCTCTTAATGCTGCAGCATTCAAAGCCATTTTGGACAATTTTATGCTCCCATCTTTATGGGAACAATTTGGGGATGGACCCTTCCTGTTCCAACATGACTGCGCACCAGTGCACAAAGCAAGACCTATAAGGACATGGATGAGCAAGTCTGGTGTGGAGGAACTTGACTGGCCTGCACAGAGCCCTGACATCAACCCAATAGAATACCTTTGAGATGAATTGGAGTGGAGTCTGCGAGCCAGGCCTTCTCACCCAACATCAGTGTCTGGCCTCACAAATGCTCTCCTGAAAGAATGGTCAAAAATTCCCATAAACACACTCCTAAGCCTTGTGGACAGCCTTCCCAGAAGAGATGAAGCTGTTATAGCTGCAAAGCGTGGGCCAACTCCATATTAAAGCCTATATATTAAGAATGGGACGTCATTAAAGTTCATGTGTGTGTAAAGGCAGGGGTCCCAATACTTTTGGCAATATAGTGTATGTAAGTGAGAGCAGGCTTGGCAGTGAAGGGCAGTCACCTGCAGTGGTGCCCATGGAGCTGGGAGTTAAGGACCTTGCCCAAAGGCCCACAGATGTGTCTATTATGCCAAACCTGGGCTTGAGTTGGGGACCTTCCAATCACAGGCCCAGAGGCTTAGCCCGCTGCACCCAGCAAGCTTTGCAATGAATTATCTATGAGGCCTCCTTGATAACATATGCAAGATCTTGCACATACCGTATGTATGAAAAGAATGTGTGCGAAATTCCTTTGACGGTGTTACATCTATTCGCAGAACCCAGCCCAGATGTGCGAGGCAACAAAGCCATCCACTGAGCCATGACACCGCTCCATTCACAAAATGCAGTTTCAGGTTATCTAGCAGAAGCTGTGTGGTAATGATGGAGGGAGACAGATGAAAGCCTCCTTCATGTGGAGGCTGAGGATGAGGAGGAAGATTAGAATGTAGGCAAAAGTTCGACAGCAAAGGGATCCTTAAATATAACAGGCAGAAATACAGGCGCTCCTCTATTTATGGACTTTCAACTTACAAACTTTCAGACATACGAACAAAGACAACTGTACTGTAAGTCCAAATTGTGTTCCTTGGGCTCCCGTTTCCTGTCCACAACATCAATTTTTTTCTTTCTGCTCTCTAGTTCCGCCTAGTGCGGCTTCTGGCCGCTACTCCCGCCGCGCAGCAGCGTAGCGTGCGAACTCCCAGCATGCTAGTTCTTTGTACTTGCATATACCCTTAAAATGATGTTGAATAACGACTTACGAACATTACAAGTTACGAACAGCCGTTCGGAACGTAACTCATTCGTAAATAGAGGAGCGTCTGTACCCAGGAATGCATACACTACTAGTCAAACGTTTTCAGACACCACAGGTTTTTACCACATTTCCATTATTTCATAAACTACAGATTTTTTATTCTTGTTATGCATAGGAAATTTGAGCAAAAAATTATAAATGAAAATATAAGTCAAATACTCAAAATTTCCATTATAATATGGAGATAGTATGTAACAGTGCATGTCTAGTTTTTCTCTCATTGATGGCAGAGTCAAATTCTAGGCTGTCCATTAACCTTAAATGCACTAGTTACCTGTTTCATCCCATGAAACAGAGCAGTATTTAATGTCCCTTTTACAAATGATGCCATTGTAACTGCTAGAGTCAAAGATCTGATGCATGAATCAAAGATATGATATTTTCTTGCTAATAAAGGTACTCAAATGGTGAACATACTGTAAATCTATTTGTTAGCAAAGAATACTGACAAACTTTTGGCTGGTAGTGTATAAACTGACCATTATATCAGTGCTGTCAGTTGTTTTTTTAATGAATATATTTATTGAGTTTCCACTTTTATTATCACTGTAATACTGTACTCAGCTAAAAAAGTGGACAAAAACTTTTGGCTGGTAGTGTGTTTGTAAGCCTATTAAAATAAGTGAGGGCAACAACAGAATAGCAGGCTTGTGGCAGAAGCTACTCCTCTGGTTTCCTCCCCTGTGCAGTTTTATACTGTTTCACATCTTTGACTTTCAGGAAACATTTGTGGTTCTTCAGATGAATTACTAAGGGCACTTTCCAGAAGAATCTGATTGGTATGTTTGTCAGAAAAATGGCAGATCAGTGTGAGACACCCAGCATGGGACTCCGCTCAGCGTTTCTGGCCCATTGTAATAACCTAATATGAGACAACAGATGCGAATAAATCAAATGATAAATGAATTCATTTTCAGCCTTTGTTGCATCGAGTCAGAAGCGTGGACATATGTATTTGAGGAACATGCATGATCACAGAACAGCAGGAAATCGTGAGAGTCGTAAGGATGCTCACTGCAGTCATATCATGGACAATGCGACTCAACTTTAACAGAATGTTTTGCACCGTTGTCGCCTGGAAGAATAAAACAAATAAAGGAAGCACATGTCAGGGAGATAAATTATCCAGCCCCCACCCCTCCGCGCCCCCCGGGACCTTGCATTTGCTTTTGAGATAAAAGCTTGCTCTGGGTTTACAGAGAGACATTTGGGAGCATAGTTGTATCTATATATTTTAGCTTCTTGTCCTCATCTTTCATAGACAAAATCATGCTACATTTCCTATCCTCTTACCAGGTTCACAATAGTAAATGACACACGAGGCTCTAAATGTATGCTGTAATTATTTTTATAGGCTGACTGCTGAGTTTAAGCACTTAGCCAACATCTCTCCATGGCTATTACTCATGTTGCCATCAAGAGTTTAACACCCAAACACAATGCACCTGAATATCTGCATTAAACACAAATCTTTAGGTCACCCAGAGCAGGGCAGCACTGACAAACCTTGCTTTAAACATGCATAGCATCATACTATGTATGGTATAACTGCACTGAATACAGTTGAGTATTGAATATACTGCTTGATAGACAGGCATATAAAAATAGGGCCTGCAGATATATTTATTTTTGTATAGTGAACTAGGGCACTGGCCCAAGAAATTTGAAAATTCCAAAAGTGAACAAATTATGACAAAGAATAGACATTAAAGCCAACATTAACATGCATGGCAAAAATGCCCAATGGGCAGTGTGATAAAAAGAAATGAGCAATTATGAAGAAGAATAAAGCTCTGGGGAGCATTTTGATGGCCTCAGCTCATGGACGCACTTTACTGAGAAGTCTGTATAGGCTAGTCTGTTGTGGGTCTGCCTATGCAGAGCTTCAACAACAGCGGCAATGAAAACAAATATTAGCAAAGGTGCTGATTCAAAGTGATTTAAAAAGCTACCAAAGCTCGCCTGAATATATAACTGCATGCTCTCTGAGACTGTTCAGGTTAACTCACTTCAGCAAAGAAAAACAAAAACTGCTAGGAATGAACCGCTTTGCAACACTTCTGTCATACATCACCTGCTTCCCTACCACTAGTACTGCATTTGTCTCCTTTATGACATAGAGGAACAAAGACTCCATAGTGAAAGTGAAGCAGCAAGTTATGTTGAGCTCTGATATTGGATGATTTTTGTGAGAGAACATGAGTGAGTCAATTGATCATAAAATCTCAGCTGTGGATCTTGGTCGACAAACACCAGGAAGAGAAATGTTAGGCAATCGTGCCCCCCTCCCAAGAGGTGGAGTGGCACTATTTTTATGCATCTGACACGCCAGATGATTTTTAATAGTATAGAGTCTTTGCTGGATGCTTGAGGTGATTGTCTGCAGCAACTG